TAGCTTTAAGCACACGAATAGTCCCACTGAAACCAGATAATAGCAGGAGCTTGAGATAATGAAGAAAAGTTGGAGTCCTGCAAAGGTTAGCCTTGAAATGTCTGCACTACGGGGGTTACAGCTGCAGCATGGCAGCTATGCTGCTGTAGAGACATAGTGTCAATGCTTCCTACAGCGATGGAAGGGGTTTTTCCATCACTGCAGGTAATTCACTTCCCCAAGCAGCGCTGGCTATGTCAGTGAAAGAATTTCTCCATCAATTTAGCTGCATCTACACGAAGGGTTAGGCAGCTTCACTACGCTGCTCAGGGGTGTGAATTTTTCACACCTGAGTGACATAGCTAGTTCAACCTAAATGTTAAGTGTAGAATAGGGCCTAGCTACCTGAAACAGACCCTCAGCTGCCCCCATTATGCTTTAGAGGGGAATGGAGAATGAGTTCAAGAAAACCAGGGGATAAGTTCACAGAATGAAGGACAGCATAGCAGAAAGGGCAGTGATGAGGGAGAGAATGATATAAACAAGTCAATTCAGAGGGGAAATAGATAGGAGGATGGGGCTGAGTAGGGAAGTCATGATAGGTGAGTGGGGTGATGCTTAAACAATACATCCTACTTCACAGAGGAGCTGTGATGGTTGAATAAATTGTATATAGTGCTTTGAGACCCTTGGACAGAATCAGCTGTAGAAGAGCCAAGTAAAACCTAAGACAAAATTGATTTAATTAGCAAAAAAAAATCAAAGTTCTTTCATGTAATCATACCAGATTTGAGTTGCTGGTATTAATGGAAGCAGCATGGTTGCCCCCTCATGTCAGCAACATCTGCCTTCAATTATAAATATTTATGCTATAATAAGTATATCGTCATTTTAATGTAATATTCATCTACATAGAATCATGGAAATGAGTTATGGAAAAAGCCTACCTTGTCTGTCCTTAACCCAACAGAAGACTTTTCTCTGAACTGCTATTAAGATTAAACAGAGGGGATATCACTTCTTCCTTGGGGAACAGTTTAATCTGGTCATTACTTTTTTAGGATTTTCATTTCCTGATGTGCACATCAATGTTTTCTTTTTAATCCAGACTTGTACCATTATCTCCCTCTCTTTTGTCTCGTAGAAGGTATCTATCTTGTCTCTATTTACCTTATCTATTATAAACCATTTATAAATCACTATCTGTAATGAAATTAAATGTTACATAATTAACTAAAAAATCAGTAGCATAAAAATTTTGATCCTTCAAAACATGATTAACACGTTATTATGCAATACATAGACAAAGAGGAGTAAGACTCTGGTGTAAATCAATGTAACACCTTTGGAGTTATATGGAGTCACACCAGCTGATGTGCTGGCCCCACATTTCTAATGCATACCATTTTGCACTTACTTTTCAAAATCTTGTACATCAATTAATATTGTGTTTCATCATGGGAATCAGTGTTGGGCTTTAGATTCTAGAATGAATTTAGATTTTAGGTAGAGATTAGATGAGTTTAGATTTTCCAGCTGAAATATTGTTCTGAAAATGCAGGTAAAGGTGGGGTGCTGAAATAATACGCTTCATTTGATATAACGTGCTTAACCCTTAATGTGTCACTTCAGTAAATGATGAGTTAATTGCTGGCATTTATAGTTCATTCAAACAGTTCAGATGAACAGTATTACTCATGAACGACTTGTGACTCTATTTCCTCTGTCTTGAAGTAGAAGAAATAAAAAGGAAGAGTAACAAAGTCTAAACATGATCAAGGATATTAAGGCCTTAGTTTCTTTTCTCAAATGTAATTTGCTTCTGTTTTAGACTGATGTTACAGAAGCACTGATTCAAGGAGGTAACAATTATTTAATGCTTAGATTACTGTATTTTATTTAATTTTCACCCTCACCTTTTGTACGTTCCAATTTATAACTTAACTAAGTGCACAAATATACACTAATGACCATTTTAATGAAAGTAAGGAGTTTCTGTTCACCAAAGAAAGAAAATGTATGTTTAAAGGTGAGATTCCATTTTAAAATCATTCCCCTGGACCGGAATATTGTGTAGCCACATATAACTTGTGAACGTACCATGGTTTGGAGACCTCTGCAAAAGCTAAATATGGAAAGGGAGTTACACACTGTGTTGCATTAACTCTGAATGTCAAATTCCTCTCTTTTTTTGTTCAAGAACTAAAGCTCCCAGGACAGCCCTTACCCTGCAGACACATGCAACTGCTTACTTTATGCATAGTGTTACAAACTTGGAGCAATTCCAAGTTGCATTCGAGAGCAGGTGGATTTTAACCATTTATTGAAAACTACAATAGAATCCAAATGAGTGATCCCAGGCTACAGTACAGCAAGTGAAGTAAGCAATCGCACTCCCTGCTGGGTTGTCCCGTGAGGCATACCAGTTGTGGGCAGATGAACCTTCCTCTCTGTTCAGAGGCCGTCACCTCTCCACATGGAGAAGCTCTGAACACCCCCCTGGTACATCAAGTTATACATGCACTTTGTGATGGTCACGTCACATACACAGCATTTCCAGATATGCCCAACGACAGCATTCCCTGCTGCTGAGCCCAAACATGTATGACCACATTAAACAAAATGCATGCTAAAACAGTGATAAAATACACCATAAAACAAGAAGGGCAAAGGTGCCTAACCCTGGGGACACAGTAGCATCTAAGCGTGTGGCCTGTCTGGGGATTCTCCAGTCCCCTAACAATAGGCCCATTGCAGTTGATGGAACTATGCACATGCATAAAGTTAAACATATGTATAAATTTTTACAGGATTGGGATGCAATGCTTAATTTCAATAAATTTTGAATGTATATATAGACATAATTATGAGCAAAGGGATGTGCTTTGTTTGATCTTTATAGTCTTCATATTTAATTTGGTACTTTTATTACTTTCTCAGTATACAGTGAAGTAAAACCTCATTAATTCTTACTTGGTCAGTCCACTAACCTAATAAATCTTACCATAAAAGCTAAAAAAAAAATACACGCCCTCGTGTTATCAACCTATATCTCTGAAAAGATTGCATAGCAAATATTTGTGATGTCTTATACTACAGTTTCCTTTCTTTTACAAAACATGCAACAGTCCAATTACTCGTACATTAAGGAGTATTCTCATAATTAAAGCTAACCCGCACATCAAAATAAATGAACAAAGAACATCTTAACAGGCATTATCCTGGCTTTTTTTTATCCATTTACTAACTTGCAAAGTTGGATACTCCACAATGGCTCTCCCAGTCATCAGTGTGAATTAGCATTCTTCTGTATAATTGTTGTATGCAAGCCTCTGGAGGCAAAAGTAATAATTATATGCTCCCATGGATGTAACCAAAGCGATAACTGCATGGAGAAAAAAAGCTCTGATGCTGAACTTGCACTGGTGTGAATTAGGAGTCGCTCTGCTGAAGTCACTAGTGTTACATCAGTGTAAGATATTCAAAATGGACCAAAAGCCATAGCCATGTAGTTCAAAAGCAATGAGCGGAATCTCCTGTGAATTGTGTTTTTATTAAAAAGGCTTGGTAATCTTGTTCTGTGAATCAAATGGCTCATGTTGTATATATTAAAAGGGGGAAGAGAAAGACCCACCACAATTACAGCTTTCTATAACCCAGAAAGGAAAGGGATCATGAGTCTGTTAAGGATGTGGTTATTGCCACTTTATTTTACATGGAAGACACTTGAATAATACAGCGATGAGCAGAAGAACCAACCACTACGAGGGATGGGTAGATTTTCATCATGTAAATATCGCTCAAATTTACCCTGCATTGAACAGAAATACTAAAATATTGTTAAAGTTGAAAAATATAATGGGCCTGATTCTCCTCATATAATAGTTTCCTATCAATACAACTCCAATGTCTTCAGTGGAATTAAATAGACTATAAATTCTTTGGGGTATGGACCATCAGTTTCTGGGCACTGATTGGATACATGTTAATAACACTACAACTTCCAGTTTATACTGGACACGGCAGGTTGCCAAGGCGCCAGGCAGCTAAGCTGGCAGGAAACCAGGCAGGTTTCCAGTGGAAGCCTGTCTGGCAGGCAGGGTTCTGTTGGTACTTCATCAAAATGAAACCGTCTCTGCAAAACATTTTGATTTAGCCAAATTTAAAAAATTTCAATGGAAAAATGTTTTGTCGGAATTTTTCTGACCAGCTCTAGTTTTGAGCTTTACAGCCCTTATTTATGTAGACACTTTCAAAATGATTTTGTTGTCTTAATAGAAATATGTGGGTGATTCCCTGGTGACCAAAGTCATACCTCCTAATTCCCATAGATGTTAGCCACTCTACTGACGACTGTGAATTATGCCAGCTGGAATGATCCCCTAGGGACCACTCTACCAGCTGAGAATCAGCTGTCATGCCGTGCATTCCAGCCCTGCTCCCTCCCACTCAATATGGGTTTAAACAGATGGAGGAGCCAGTGGCCTAAAGCTCAAACTGATAATCAGGCCCAGTTGTGTAGGAAATGAAGCACCTGGTTGACAGCATGCAGCAACACTTCACAAAAGTTTAGGCTGGAAATGAACAATTATCAATGTTATGGTGGCCCACCTTTACCCTGCAGGGTCTCCTGCCTCATGAAATCCTCTCAACTTTCTCTTTTATTGATTTTTAGTGATATTTAAATCAGTATCCAGGCAATTCAAATGCCAAATTCTTTTTGCAGCCTCTTTTAGTTGAGGGATTTACTGGCATGATAAATGGATTCATTAATATTTATTTTTGCCATCTTTCTAATACATACCTTGCCTTTTTCCAAAAGTAAAATGATGTTAAATAAATCAGAAGACAAACACTTTTTAAGACTTCAGGAGTCATTCTGCCAGCACTAAATCACACTGTATCTGATTCTAGCGCAGAGTGTGAAGCAGCCAGAAAACAAATATTCTTGAAACATAGCTTACTTTAATAATAAATAATAATAATAATAATAATAATAAACAAGATACATAGACAAATGAGTCATTTTATTTATTAGCGTGGTAGAGCAATGGCGCTGTGTAGTCTCGTTCCTAACACTGAAACTTTATAGCACTATATTGACAAGACAAAACCTCATTACAGTAAATGGTTAATTTTTAACTCTCTTCACAACTCCCATCACAACTCTTCATAAGCGTTACCAGACACAAAAACATGAGTGACATAATAAAGTCAATTAGGAGAACCCTCTCTGAAAGGGCAGGAGACACAGCCTCTGGCAATGACCAACACTGCTTCCTTTAGAGGAAGGTGAAAAATCTACCTAATGCATCTGGTAACAAAGAGTAGAGCAGAGGAAACTCTGTAGATGGGATGTTTTATAACACAGAATAGCATTAGTTCATAAAATTGTCAACCTTATGCTTCTCTCAATTCTGCCTCAATCTAGACTCAAATTTATCTCCTTACCTCACAAGCTTTAAGTTATTTCACTTACTTTATGGTACTGACCTCCTTTGTGAAGTGTTTTGAGATCTACTGATGACAAATGCTAGATAAGAGATAGGTAGGCATTATTATTTTTTATTACTGTGAATGGGAGAGGAGTGGTCCATGAGGCAATCTCTCTAATAAGATGTCTTCTGCTATGAAAACCTCTTACCTCATCATTCATCCTTCCCTTACCCCATATTGCCATGCTGTCCCCAACCCTCACTCCTCATTTGCTTCTCCCTGTCGCTCAAAGTCTCCTCATCCCTATGTACATAAATGTGGCCCATGATCTAAACCTGAATCCAGGCCCAAACTATAGCTATGTCCAATCTAACGAAAATATTATCAACAATTATTTGCACAAAAGGTAATAAGGGCTCAGGTGGCTGGAGCTGCTTGTTAGACTCTGGAGTGTTCAATAATGCAGGAGGGAAAAGGAAATTATTTTCAAAGATAAAAAAGTAGCTTTAAAGAGAATTGTAGTCCTCGCTCTTGAGTGGGGAGGGAGGCCACTCTGCCTCACTACAGGCAGACAGCAGGTAACAGTCTATAGGGGAAACTCCAGCCCTCTGGGTGGGGCCAAGCCACAAACAGTCTTTAGCCTGAAGCCGCCTGGCTGGGGCAGACAGCAACAGTCTAGGGAGGAGGAACTCTGGCCCTCTGGGTGGGGCAGAGCCATGAGCAGTCTTTAGCCCACAGCCACCTGACTGGGGCAAACAGTAATTAACAGTGTATAGGGGAGTTCTGGCCCTCTGGGCTGGACAGAGCACAAACAGTCTTTAGCCCATGACCACCTGGCTGATAGTGAGCCGATAACACAGCCCAGCCAAAAAGAGGGGTTTGGCTGCCACCCCGGGGTGGGGTCAGTGGCAGGGGGCAGGGAGACATAGGCCCACCCTATTCCACTGAGTCCCAGCCCAGGGCCCTAATAGTGGTGGATAGGTCTGCAGTGATACTCCCAAAACATGCTGATTCACTCTCCAGCAGCAGAACCAGACTAAAGTCTCATTCCCCTGGGCTACTTCTTACCACAATCTGGATATAGGGCCCCGTAATCTGATGGTTCTCTGTCTCCTTGGGGTACTCAGCTGCTGACAGTCCCCAGAGCTCTTTGGGGCATTTGTCTGACGGCGGTCCTGGCAGCTCCTCAGGATACTCGTCTATCTCCTCCAAAAGCAGGGCATGCTGTCACTCACGGGCTAGTCTGGGATCCTGCAAAGATCGCCGCTCCCTGGAAGAGACATCTGCTCCCTCCGGTGGTCCAGCCCCAACTGAGCCCCAGAGCTCTGCTTTTATACTTCCTGTCCCAACCCGGGACTTCCAGTGCCGGAGGTGTGGAGGATTCGGCTCTGCCCAGCACAGGAGTGTAGTGGTCCATCACAGTCCAGTTCGGAGGGAGCCATTCTGCCTCACTACAAGAATGAATGTGAAACTATCACCTGGGCTGGGGTAAAGGTCGGAATCCACCTTCTAGGTCTTTATATAAAAATGTAAGAAAAGAGAGGCGCCAGGCAGTGGCGAAAGACATTATAATCAAACACAGATGAAATGGAAAAGCTTGACTCACTGAAGGCAAGGAATAAGGGGAATGTGCCGATGATGACTAATGGTAGTATATATATTTCATCTTCAAAGAACCTTATTCTCTACTCACCCCACACCACTGGACATTTCCTTAGTTTCCTCTCGTAATGCCTTCTTTCTCATATGCCCGGAGCTCCCTCTTTGATCTGGTCTGTCAAGCCTCTAGCCTTCCTCTTTTAAATCTCTCTTGAAAACACACTGTTTAAAGAGAAACAGAAATCTGAAGCCACCCCCTTTGCCAACTGAAAATTATGAGCAATCAAAAAAATTAAATTGTGGAACGAATACGACGTGTACTTAATGTTTCCATTTAATCACTTTGTCTTGTGTTACTCACCTTTCCTGCCCCAACCCTTGGGTGCATGAATCTACCTAGACTGGGGATTTGCAGAAACTACAGTCATGGATGTAGTTGCACCAATGGAAGTTCTAATGGAAACTGGCAAATCTACTATTTTCACGTGTGGAACTTAGTCCAGTTTGAAACCAGGGTAAACTCTGCCAGTGCAAACAGCAGCTTTATCTGTCTATGCTAGGAATTGCACAGCTACAGCTACAGCCCTGTCTGTGATCGAGGCAAATCCCCAGTCTAAACAGGGACTTAAACTGTATTTTCTAGGACAGGAATACTGGGTCAGATTATGGCCCCTCCATGCCAATCCAGTGGTCCATGGAAATTTCCCCAATGCAGAGGCAGAATAGGGCCAGTGTAAATGTCCCTACATTGCCCCACCTCATAGCCCCCATGTAGGGACAGAGGGAGCATGTTGGAGCAGCAGTGGGGACTGTAACCAGAGTGCTGTCTACTGTGGCAATTCTAGGCTGCAAAGCAGCCCTTAGCCAACTGTGTAAGGCTACTGTAAATTCAATTAGTCCCTGGAGATGCTCTAATTTATGATAGGGGATGAACTATCTCCTGAGCAGCCCAGAATCTGGGACGTGCAGAAGCAGCTTAAAACCACCTTTGCCGTCCCCCATTCCAACTCCTCCTGAGAGGTGTAGCAAAAAGTCTGTCCCTTTGTTGCCCTGACTGCCTATGATGCTTTAGATGTCTCGTTGGCATCCCACACAGTTCTTAATTATACAAGAGAAATTAATTCTGAACGTTGTAATATCATGTGAAAGCAACATCTCCCAACAGGGCAATAAAATACTAGAAACAAGAACATGAGAATTCTGGGAATGGGGGAAGGTAGGTCAGAAGCTCAGTTGTATATGAACACATTCTGAGCCAGGCTGGGAAAGTAACCCAAACTGACATTTTAGCTTCACTGTTTAGGATGTTTTTAACATGCTTAAAATGGTTATTTTCTCAGACAAAATCTTACTCTTAATTTTCTACTAATCTTTCTACTTCTGCATTATATACACCATAATCCCCCTTATAACACATGCATTCCAATTCTCACCCCCTTCCACCCCCCACCCCCGAATTATGACATTTTATTTCATGGATACATTTTCTCAAGTTAAAATATGAAAATAAATCACTCCACTCATGTATGAAATAATAATTAATGTCCCTGGATTCAAAATCAAAATGTAATATGATAGCAGGACTTAACCTACTGCAAATGTTTTCTGTCATGCCCTCTAATTAAATGAACTACATTATGCTGTTATAGTTAATATGTACTTACTGTAAAGTATTCTACATGTTCCATTCAGTTCAGTCCTTATCTCCAAACTCGTGTGTGTGTTTGTGTGTGTGTGTGTGCGCACACGCTCTCCGTAGTTCAGTTTGAAGTTCTCTTTGTCTTAAATTCCCATTTTTTAAATTCTTTTGTAACTCAATTACAGGTAAACCAGTGCAATTATAAGTGCATGTTTGTTATACATAGGGGCAATCAGTACATGCAATACTCTGTCTATTTTACATGGATACAAGATCAGAGAATGGAATGAGGCATTCTTTCCCCTTTAGCAGCATGTTTCATCTGATTAGTCTTCATAATCTACAAAACATTATAATCTACAACGAGAAAGGAAAAAGAGTCATTTTGTTAAATATTTCCATATTGGTAACTGTCTTCAAACTTCCCTTTGCTATCTCTTTGCTGTAATTCATTGTTTATTAAGGAAGTCCGCTCACTAGATATGGGTAGAACTGCAGTAGTCCAATTGTCTCAATATACATTTCTTTTAAATAACTGATAAACATTTCCATATCATTGTACCACTCTTATTTCATTTCTTTCCTAGTAGGTGCTCCATTATAGCCTGAGGAATATATATATGTCGCCTATTATGGTGCATATTTTAGTCCAGTAAAAGTGGATCTTGTGACACTGCCATATAGAATGTATAAACTATGACGGTTCTGTGTTACATTTCTTACCTATATTGGATGTAATTTTACTAAAGATATTAAAAAGATGTGGAGAAATATATATCCTATGTGTCTGGGAGAGAGATTAAGTGTTTTATAGCAAACAGTAGAGTCCTTTATCAAAATGAACATCCTTCCTCAGCATTTGTATAAATACAGATGTTCCATAAAAACTGAACCCTGTGTTCTTTATCAAATTAAATAGAACCAGACAATTCAGAGGATATAAAAAAATGACTCAGCTTCATGCTCGTCCTTTGCACAGAGGTGAAATAAATCGCATAAAGTGCTGTTTCTAGTTCCTTACTTCCCATTTTGATCCCATCGTTAAGGTTTTCTGCTCTAGCAAGGGCTCCTGGGAGTCTATCACCATGTTGATTTTATTTTTTCCTAAATCTACCTCCATTTAATTGTGGCTCAGCTATTCTGTAGAATGTAGAGATATTTAGAATGATGGAGATGAGAGGTTTCAGAGAGGAAGGCTGGGTTTTTGGCTAATGTACTGAATTGGAACTTGGGAGAAGTAGGTTCAATTCCTATCTTTGCTGGTAACTTTCTGCATGACTTTGGACATGTCATTCAAACTGTCTCCCTTAGTTCCCCATCTGTAATATAAGGATTCTCTCTGTCCCTGGTCCTCCACACCGTTGTCTGTCCTGTTTTGATTGTCTCTGTCTTTGGGGCAGAGATGGTGTCTTACTATGTGTTTGGACAGGCCCTGGCATAATGGGATCCTGATCTTGATTGGAGCTTCTAAGCATTGCTTAATACAAACAATATTTGTTTTTCTCTAGTATATTTAGATGGTAACTAGAGTGCATGCTCTATTTTGGATTAAATAAACTGAAAGAACTGCAGTTTTTATCAGCCCAGGACACTGTTATTACCAAGTTAACAATGAGCAACAAGGTATTGTTATTACTATATTGAAAAGCATCCTCCCTCCTCTTACACCTGTCTTCGTATCTCTGCTTCTTATCCCTGATGCTTCTTAGGACAGATCAGCCCCCATTCCCACAATGAGTAATTTTTTATGTTATATTTATTCTGTGTGCTCCCTCTCCTCCATCCCTGTTGTTAAGGTCTCTCTGCAAAGAGTATCTCTCCCAAAGCTGAACTAAAGCTAGACATCACTGGGCTCTCTCCTGCTGTAATTCAACCTGAAGGAAAGGGAACTCTTCATTTAGATGAAATTACACCTTCTCTGTGAGCATTAGGCTCTTTCAGCAGTGAACAGCAGAAGGTGGGGAGAAGTGAGGGCATGTGGGGTAAGAAGATGTGGATGGGTTGAATATCTGAGGTGACTGTTATGGGCATGTCGATGTGGGGTTATGAAGGCAATAGCCAGTCAGAGCACAGGAATTATGTACTGTACCCAGGGCTTAAATTCTAATAGATTACTTCCTGGAGCCCCCCATGTCCCCCTCATTCGGGGTGCCAGGCTTCAGCTGCAGTGGGAGGTCTTAGGGCTTTAGCCCCATGGAGGGTGGGGGTGTGCCAGGGTTTGGGGCTCCTGCCACACGGGAGGCTCTGAGGCTCAGGGCTTCTGCCCCGTGGGAGGCGCCGCGGCTCAGGTCTTCAGCCCCCATGGGTCATGCCGAAACTTGGGTCTTCAACCCCATGGGGCGTGCCTGTGGACCCCCTGAAACTGGCTTACACTCCCCAGAAGGGGTTTGAAAATATTTACTGGCACTCTGCTCCCAACAGCTCCAGCTGAATTTAAGCCCTGCCAGTTCCATGACTGAGAAATAATCACAGAGGCATTATGCAGCCCAATGCCTCCCCCTTTCCCCCCCACACACACACATACAAACACTCAGACACACAATCAGCATGCAAGGATCAGCATATCTGATAAATGACTGTACAGTGAGTCAGTAATTATACAGCATCCCTGGGCCCTGACTGGCTGAGACAATTGCATTGCATTGCAATTGCAATTAAAATTTCATTGTGTTTAAGAGCTGTAAGCTAATGTTCTAGTTACTTTATTCATACACTGTTGTTCTGATACTCCCTCAAGCCCTGGGAACTGAACATTCCCCTCTTTCCTGCTTTTATACCTCTACAGAAGGCTCTGCTTGTAAGACTTCCCATGCAGTGGAGGAGGGACTGAATGTGGCACCTGCAGCCAGTCAGTGCCTTACCATGTACCTTACCACATCAGAGGGAGTCAGAGTGGCATGAGACATTTCATTCTCCTGAGCAGACTGCATACCATCCATGTAGTATCCCTGCTAACACAGTAGTGTGGGAACTAACTCAGTACTCCAAACTCAGATCCCTCACATGTCAACATAAATAAAATTAGGGACCATTGTGATGCATTTTAACCATCTTCCTTTTCTCAAGAGGATTAATTCCCAAAGCTGTTTGGTATTACTCTATAAATATGGGCCCTTGATTCTCTTCTCACTTAGTGGTTTTACATTAGTGCAACTACATTGGTTTTAATGGCTCCTTCTTTAGCATAGAAATCCATTTGGGGCTCTTTGTCCAGCCACTTCACTTTAGTCTATGATCCCAATCTCTGATACCAGGAGTAATAGTTGTCACAAAGACTCTCATCTCATGCACACCAGCACCATTAGATTTCAGGTAGGGAGTGCTAGGAAGGTGGACCTGCTCCTATATCAGCTGATACAGACACCATCCCAAATGGGCTGTCTAGGGATATAGCCATCCCCCTGCAATGGCTAGTAGCTGCAGTATGTACAAGCTGGAGCTTTCTTTGCTCCTTTGAGAAGGAAAAGCAGAGAACACCTTACCTATGCCCTCTGGATTATGCCCTGGTCAGCAAGGATGGACCAAGAGAGGATCCAGGCCAGCGTCCCTCTTTTCTCTCTTCAGTCTGGATGGAGCAGGATTTGGCTTGGGGTGTTTTTCTAATTTTGAGGCAAGTTCATCTGTGAGAATGGATAGAATTTCTCAGATTTTAACGAAAAATGACAGTTATTTTTGTTCTTCCTCCTGCTTTTCTTACCATGTGAAAGAAGCTGTATCTTGATTAACTAATAGGGAAAACTTGCCTTAAACTTCAGTCCACAGCTGTTCAACCCTCTTCTCTAAAACACCTAATTTGCTGCAGCATTTAAAGAAGAAGCAGCATTCTGAGTGTTCTAGTAATAGCAGCGGGATTTCTTAGCTACATTTTCTTGTATGTCCTTAGAAGATAATGTTAGAATGTTTGACGAGCATATACTTTAGGAGTTATTTTGGAAAAGTTCTATGGCCTGTGTTATACAGGAGGTCAGACTAGATGATCCCAATGGCCCCCTCTGGCCTTGGAATGTATGAATCTTAGTGTGACTAACTTTTAAAAGGTGACTGCTGTATATTTCATAGCCACGTTTTGACTTAAAATGTTTTTCCCCCAAAGACAATATATCAACAAAACCAAACAATGAAAACAAAAGTAATTCAGCACTTTTAACAAAGGACTTATTGGCGCTTACGTAAGGCAGCTGTGGCATGCTTTTTTAAAAAACTGCAATAATTTCAATGTGTCATTTATACAAAGAGATGTGAGGTGTAATTGCTGTTGCTTTGTTACAATAATAATTGCTATTAACATACAAAACCTTTCGTTTCCATGGGGGGTGGAGTGGGGAGGAAAAGGAATTATGGACATGAGAGATTTTTCTGACTTTCTTCAAAAGCTTAAATTCAGAACATTCCACAGCTGGTGCAGAGCAAGAGATGGGATAAGGACAAGATCCATTTTCCACTGATGTTTAGTGTCTTGTGTTTGGAGCCCACATCGTATTAACGAAAAGCGTCCAACAACTGATCCAAACTCATGCAGCCTCCTGCCTATGGCAGTGTCTTCAGACTTCATAGGTAGTGGCAGTTTCATAAAGCTGTGTGATGTGTGAAGCCAAATTAATTGTGAATACAGCTCTGGTCCAATATGTTTAATATGGTAGAAGATAAAGCAGAATTAGAGGGAAATCTGTACATTCACACTTTATGATATGCCTTGATAAACTGAAAATCTCACTCCTGGGTTCCAGTAGAAATTGATAGTTTTAATACCCCACACACTACAGATCAGGGGTAGGCAACCTATGGCACGCGTGCCGAAGGCTGCAAGCGAGCTGATTTTCAGTGGCACTCACGCTGCCTGGGTCCTGGCCACCGGTCCGGGGGGGCTCTGCATTTTAATTTAATTTTAAATGAAGCTTCTTAACATTTTAAAAACCTTATTTACTTTACATACAACAATAGTTTAGCTATATATTATAAACTTACAGAAACAGACCTTCTAAAAACGTTAACATGTATTACTAGCACGCGAAACCTTAAATTAGAGTGAATAAATGAAGACTCGACACACCACTTATGAAAGGTTGCCAACCCCTGCGACAGATCATAGTCATTCTTTGTGAATAGAAACTTTAAAGCAACATATCCATTTCCGTTCTTTTAATTCCTATGAGAACCCACTTGTGTTTTCACATGCAATCAGGAGAGGTCTTGGGAAGCGATAGTACCTGTCCTGAACTTTACGGGACCAGAATATACTGTAAAACCTTCCTGAAGCAACTCAGTCTGTGAGGTGTGGTCAGTTTTAGATTGTACCTTACTCCTGAGGTCTGAAATGTTATCATGGTTTTTGGGTCCATAGGCAAAATATCCATCAGTTAGAGAAGAAAAATCAGTCAAATAGGGAGACATGCAACTTGAAAGCTTGGGTAGCTTTCCTTATAATCACAGTTTACCCAGGGACCAAGCTAGGTCTAGGAGAGAGTGGTTTCTGGGTCTTTCAAGTGTTGCCATGAGGTTTATAACACTCATATAACAGAGGAATATGTTAAACCTTGACTACCAGATTCTGGGGCTGGACCTGGGTGGATCATTTGATAATTGCCCTATTCTGGTCATTCTCTCTGAAGCATCTGGCACTGGCCACTGTCGGCCTGACCCAGTATGGCCAATCTTATGAACCCCATTGGGGGTGTGTGAGCATTGGGCTCATTTTCACATGGCCAGTGTGCACAAAAGCTTAAAGCGCAGACCCTTCTCACAAGCCTGGCTGCTCCTCCAGCCTTTGCAGGAGCTGGGCGCCCTCTAGCGAGCAAACCTCACCTAGAGGTGTGGGCAACAGCGGGGATGGATCACTTGGTGATTACCTGTTTTTTTCATTCCCTGTGGGGCACCTGGCATTTGCCAATGTGGGAAGACAGGATACTGGGCTAGATGGACCTTTGGTCTGACCCAGTAGGGTTGTTCTTATGTTCTTATGTAGAGCAAACAAGTGAGAAAGATGGGAAGAACCAAAGAGGCAGTTGAACCACTGGTGGGATAAAATCTCTTTCCCTCCCCCTGTCTTTAGTGACCCGGATCTCCTTGACCCTGCGGCTTTGTCCTTTGGAGCCTTTTCTTCTTTCCAGTGGGGTTTGATGGAGTTTTACACACTGGCTTCCCTTCCCCAGCTTTGGGGGTGAGAGATTCGCAGCTGGGGTGGAATGGTCTAGCCCTGCCAGATATTAAGGAAGATCAAGGGGAGCGGACCAGTGGGCGGGGGGTTCAGCCCCCAGTGCGCTCTGTGCCGCAGTTTCCCTAACCCCTAGTGCTGTCACCTAGAGAAACGTGGTTAGCCAGTGGGGCAGGGCTCTCCCCGGCTCTGCTACTTCAGCAAGGCTGGAGCACGTGGACCAAAGAGGGGAGGGGGTCCAGCTTGCCCCTTGCTGGCGGGCTCCTCTTGTCCTGTGTCACTCACACCGTCAGACCAAGCGGCCGGGGTTGCTCACGCCTGGCGCCCCCAAGTCACTCGTCTCGCGCTCGGTGGGAGAGCTCCCGAAAGACAGGTGGGGGCTGTCAAAGGACACGCCGTTTCCTGGAGCACGCCCTCCCCCGCCCTCTGCCCCCAGCTGTCCCCAACCACCCGCGGGGCGGGGCGGGGGGGGGTGGCAGAAAACGTGCTCGCTGACTTCCCCGCCTGGCTCATCCCCTTCCCAGGCAGAATCGCTAATTAGGGGGCCAGAGTGGGATTTCGTAGGTCCTGCGTCAGATGGAGCCCGGAGGCGATTGGAGGAGGCTTCGCTTTTCCCTTTTTGACTAATTATAAAGTGGCTCCATCCGCTTCCCAGAGCCCTGACTTTGGTGAAGAGCACCCCAGCCCTGCAAACAGATCCAGCCAGCCAGCGCAGGGGCCAGCAGACCGCAGCTCCAGCGGGGCACTTTCTCCGCCTGCCTCCTCGCTCCTGTAAGATTTACTGAAGCTGATGCTCAGTAACTGCGAGCTATTACTTTTCTCCTGTATTTTTTTTCCTTCTAGAGCTTCTCCAGAGGCACAAATTGCTTAGCCCTTCTATAAATACAAGGGGCTCAAACCAAGAGGCTCCAGCAAGCGACAGCTCACTCCCGAGGAGCTTCTGCGGGCTCCCAAGGAAGCAGCATGTATGTGAGTGAATTGCTCTAAGGACCGGCATTAGGCTGGGGGCTGGGGCGAGGCGTCTAGTACCATTGCTTGCAGTGGCTAGGCTGAGTTTTATTTCTGTAACAGCTTTGCTGTCTAGTTTCCTAGGCTACTGCTTTGTTGTTCGGAGGCTGTGTGCGTACAAACTCTTGCCAGGCAATCGCTCCAAGGCTTTACCTTCGAATATCTCTGTAGATCTGGTATCTAACCTCTTTCCTGGCTGTCTGGGATAATGACTGGGGACAGGGAAAGAGAGTGGCAGGAGAAATGCTTTAATTTAAATTGCTTTTAAATCAATTTGGGGGGAAACTGATTTAATTTCCGTTAACCACTTTTAGTTCGTTCTTCACATGCAGCGCTAGGTCCTGTTCCCGTGCAGGCTCTGGGCTTGCAAAAAGGAACAACTCCAGCTCTGCGAACCCCAGAAGAGCCAGGCTGAGGTCTTGGCGACCCAGGGAAGTGGGGGCGGGGAAACCGGGGGCTGTCCCTGTCTGCCGCTGCGGAACAGAGAGCGCAAAGTGTTCCAACTTGCTGCACTCCGCGTCCCGTGCCTAACCAGCGTTCCGCTGCTGGTGAATAGTTTGCAGCGCCAGTGTCTGAGGCTTGGAGGAAGCCGGGGCACCGCACAGGTGTGACTGGCTGTGGGGTTGGGGACGCTTCTCCCAGGGCCAGGGAGGAAGCTGGTGGCAGGCTGATTTCTGACCTGTTCTTTTCGCAGCCCATGGCGTTGCTCCTGAGACTTTGCGGCTTGTTCTTGGCTCTCAGCAGCTGCCTTGTCTGGACAGTGCAGGCGGACTGCAGCAAGGACTGCGCCTCCTGCTCCTACCGGCTGGGTCACCACGCAGAGATCAACCCCCTGGTAAGCGGGATCCATGTATTCCCAAGTAACTCTCTCACCCCACACGCCGCCCAAGAGGTACAGCAGCTGCTCCCGGAGGAGCCGGCTCCCCTCAAGCAGAGTTAGAGAAGGGAGTTTAGCTGTCGGGGTGGGGGGACAAGATACTCCGGCCGCGGGCTGGCTTTCCTGCGGCTCTGCGCTCTCCTTCCCCCGAGACAAGCCGCACAGTTCGGCACCCTGGAGAGCTCCACAAAGCTCCTGCCCAGCCCCAGCGAGTCAGTTGAGCTAATTGACTGTTGAGGTCCACTTGCGGGTGCTCCAAGGTGCCTGGGGAGGATCGGGCCTTAGAGGAGAGCAGGCAATGATGCCTCCTCCCAGGAGCCCATCCTGCACTGGTGGCAGGTAGCGAGCCACTGACGCCTTGGGGAGCTGGGCCCTTTACAAGACCTCGCCCCAAGGGCAGTGCCCGGGAGATAAGGGGGGTTTCTGATATTTGAACTCGAATCTACCAGCGCAGCTGGAACCAATTATCTTCTTTAAAACATAAAATGCAGCATTTCAATTGGAGGTCTGATGTCACACCGCTAGAGTGAAATAGACTAGAAATGCCACCAGAGCTATTCTGGGAGCTCGAGGAGA